CGTCATGTGACGGACATCGTCAAAGCAGGACTACAGACTTTACGATAATTCACTAAGTCAACCAAAACATGAGATGCCAAAGTGAACCAAATTTGAAGCCGGTAACCTTTCTTGCCTTCGTGTTATGGTGAATTATCGTTAGGCCTGGTGTCATGCCCTGATAATGTCCGTCACATGACGGACGAAAGCTCTGCAAGGATTCATAGGGGTCGCAAGGTGGTGCACCGAGGGCCTATTCGCACAAATCTACAGTCACAACTCCAAGGCAATCCCTTCCACTCGCCTGTACAAGCGAAATGAAAGGTACTTCAACATCAATCTATTAAGGGATTCTCCGAAGCCCAGTTTTTCTGTATACCTACGTATTTTATTAAACTAAATAATCCCATTTCATTACATCAATTCGTGAATCAAACTGATTTTAATACGCTTCCGAATGATACGACTTATACTCATGGATAGCTTCCACATATGATATTTCTGTGGTGGGATTGCTGACGAAGAAAATCGTATTTTTTACGGCAATTAATTACACTACTTATTTTTCACTTCAAAAGTAGATTCTATCACCTGAAACGAACCTCATATATACGATCTACTGGTAGTTTTAAAAACCTACTTATCAACAAAAATTTGCAAATTTCTGTTTCATCCATTGACGACGGGCTGTGAATATTTATGTATTAGAGACAGGTTATTATTGAATAAGCTGTTAATTGATATTACCATTAAAATATCAGTTTACTTAGGAAGTTTGGATTTTTGTTATTAATCAATCACTACTGTATTGCCAGCATTTTACAAATGGGCATTGAGTTAGATAAATTGTTGATTAAGTAATAAAAAAGCGTGCTATTCAAGCCAAGAATGAAATAGTTTGTTGCTAGAACATTTAATTTAAAAATAAATCCGGCAACACTTATGATGTTCCAACACTTGAATTAACTAACGTTTAATAAACAAGTGCTAAAAAATAGCCATAAAAAGAGCGTAGGGAAGTGCGGGTGAAAGGGAATTATATCTGGAGTGCTTTTCACATAAAATGAGGTAGCTAAATCCCAAATGGATGAATAGGGTTTTTCATTCCTAATACTAACACTGCAGCTGTCGTTCTTAAATATATTTATTCATAACTTTTGATCATTGGTAATTTCGTTATTATCCTAAAGGCTTACGTTATCTGATCGACTTGACTAAAAAAAAGAGTGGGTATGAGTATTGCCAAGTGGTAAATGTAGGCGATGGGCAGTTATTACTTAAAGATGGAAAGGACGAACTGATCGGTAAGCTCATCACGACTTAGTTTTCGCTTGATTTTATTAATTTTTAACATTTGCCTTGCCCTATGTCCGAAAATTATTTCTTACCTAAAGCGAGATGCGTGCCAAACATGCTTAGGCCTATGGTCATGTTTAATGACGGGTGCTAATTCATCCATGAACTGTAGATCCAAGCCTAAACGTAGCGACAATTTTGTTCAAAGAATGACACTATTTTGCATCCATCTTTTACAAGAAAAACGTGCTATCCAGTCACCCCCTCTTAACCAGTCAACCTGACATCCCTGCTTTAGTGTGGCTAGTAGATCGGGGAAATTCCTGTTATAATTCGGGTGCAATAAGATGGTAATCACTGACTTGCAGATACTGGATCTGGACAAAATCTAGTTGAGATCGTATTTAAAGTTCGGGCTATGTTAAAGCTGACTTTTTTGTATATAATTTCCAATAAAGTAACTTATCACGACCAAGCCTCTCCGATGAATCCCCGTTGATTTTGAAACTTCACTATGTATTAGCACTTTTTAGCCTCAGATATTTAATGAAGTAATGTAAGATTAAAGGATGTGGTAAAAATTTATCTAAATTTATAAGAGGCAAAATATTATGTTGTAATAAAGCAGCAGCATTTTTTGGTTTTGTACACAGGGACTTTGCTTTGAGTAAGACTTTTTGTCACCATAAGTTGCATAGGATGATTTGAGAATGAGTGTTAAATTTACCATTACACAATTGAATTTATCATTTCCTTGCATTTTCAACAGTTTTTCCATCCAGCCTCGACTACAGTTTCTTTCATCTCCTCAGTTTATTGGCAGCCCAGAATCCGAGTTGGCAATTGGGCAGATGTGACGGTCAGAAAAGCTTTATACTTTCAAATCCACCATTTTACTAAGATTCTCGACGATGCAGAGTTGTACTTGCAGAAAGCATTGATGACATCACAAAATATGCTGTGTATAGGTTTTGAATAGGAATTTTCAAATTTCATTCTTGTGCCAATTAGAGGATGACACGAGTTGAAAACTGCTGTCCTGTCGGGATGAGCAGGGAGTTTTAGAGGCAAAAGAGTACACAATTCAGCCTAAACTCATAGTTCCTATTGAAGATGCACTGATAGTCTCCAAGCCTACTCAATACTTATGCACTCTCGTTTCAAATGTGCTACAACCTAGAGACTTGATTAAGACTAAGTAGTTACAATCCAAAATAATTAGACTTAAACTTGATCAACTGAGTCTTCCGATTAGAATGAGATGAAATCACTATTTTATTTTCAATACTTTTGAAGCCAACATTTGGATCTCTTTAAGTATGATGCTTCTCAGACAGCAGCTTCCAGTATGATTGAGACTTGGCAACATCTTCAAGAATTTCATCGATGCTGATGTCTGTCCATCTGATTAATTTTTTTAAGAAGGTTGAGGTTACAAAGTTGAGGCTACCTCCAACTTCGTTCCAACTAAATGCTTCAAAGGTTTGAGTCTGCAAGCACAGTGCGAAATTCAAGTAGACTATCTTAACAGGCGGCAAAATACAATAAAAGCCAGGCTCACTTTAAAAGTGATATGTAAATCACATGTTTTAGGCCGATAGCTCTGAGCACATGAATGTACTCCGAGGCCTGTGAAATTGGCCGACCTTTCATCGCCAAACAGACAATGTTTCCGAAGTTGTACTGGCATTTTATGCATCTTTGTAGTCAATTCTGTCCTCGAATGCCCCAGTAAAGAGGCTTAAAGGTGATGCGAGGCACGTAATTCTTACTGTCATACCTTCATTTCGTTTGAAGAGGCAGGATGAAGGGATTTGTAAATGGGCAGCATCGGATGCAAAAGGAAGGTTGCCTTGGACTTGAGACTTTTGTAGTGTGCGAAGTGAACCTCGGCTCACCCTCCCACGAACCCGATGACTCCGTGCTGAGCTTTCGTCCGTCATGTGACGGACATCGTCAGAGCCAGAAAACATTATTCACGAACAATCATCAAAAAGCCTAACCCAAAAAAGGTGGGCAGCTGAGATCTTACTTACTTCCTATACTTCACTTGGCGATCTTAATGATGCATTCCATGATTTGTTTGACTGCTTTATACATGTTCTACATGCATGCAAGCAAATAAAAACACTGCTGAAAGGAGAGTGGATGTGGTCACAACTTTTCTGTATGTAAATACACTAGTGTATGATTCTGCAATCCTGGGGCCTGTTTAGCTTCGTTTATGTGTGTGCGTTGTGTGAATGCAACACTCACGAATTGATTGGCAATTTCGGCTCCGAAATCAGACTCCAGCTTAGTCAAGTCTTCTCCTCTTACTCGGTGGCTCTTCTGTTTCCTCGCATTCTCCGTTCCTCTCTCTCTCTCTCTCTCTCTTTCTCCATAATTCTATCCAGCAGTCAGCGATAATTCTGGCTTAGTTTCCTATATTCGTTCATCCCAACTCGACTCTCGTCATCATCTTCCGCTCAGCTGTGAAGTATCCATATTCTGCAAAATGTTGGGTTGTAGAGGACTCTATCTGGTGGCCTGTAGTGACCACATGTTCAACCACTTCTGATTTCTGAATCCATAAACCTTTGCAGGCGATTTTGTGTTCTGACAACCTCTTCTGCATGGATTGACAAGTCTCCCCTAAATAGACACTACCACGAGCACAAACCTTTTTAACAGCCTGATCTACAAAGGGCGTCCGAATATTCTCATAATGAAGGCATGACCGAGGAAAATGTTAGCCCTTCTTTATACATGGTCCTGTGGTTCCAGTTCATCAGTAATTCGCCCATCTTTTTCGAAAGCTGGAAGGACGGTAGCATTGGAAACCTGGAATAAGAGTTATCTAATTCCCCGTTTTGCTTTAAATAATGGTTTAATCTAACTATATTTCTTAGTATTTTGAAATTATTAACAATTAATCCTAACGGACGATTGTTCTCAACTAAGATTATTCTTAGCCTTTCAAGCTCCTGATTCCGATGAGTTGTGTCTGCTAGACGCAAACTAATTACTAGCATTGACTCCACAATCACAAACCTTAGCGCAATAAGTATGATTCAAGCATAAATTTCTGGGTTTCATATATATACATTCCCACACAATATATTCCCTTATTTAGTAACTTACAGTTCTTTTTAACTCCATAATGAATTCAGTCGTCCTAGCGAATCTAATCATTAACTTATTGAAATCTTCCAGACTCACTTCGTCATTCTGCCAGAAAACAAAATAATCCTCCATAAATCTGACTAACTGTATCAAAATTAGCAGTGCTCCCTGAAAAAATCCAGACTTTTAAGTGAGCCATGTAATTATTAACTAAAATTGGATACAAACACGATCACCCGATTCGGGTGAAAACGGGCTCAGCTTGCGTCCCTTATATGATGGACATCATCAGAACTGGAATTCATTCTTGTAAAAGTCTCACGTTAACACTACCACCGAAATGAGGGAGGATGACTCGTGGACTGTGCCAACCTGAAGGTCGTGTTGAAGCCAAACGGCTGCAGAACTACGGGATTCAGCTGTTGTCTTCTGGTGAGATTCTGTATGGCCCCACTTACCGGTGTATTCGTGTACATCAAAACTATATCAAAACTTACAAGTCCCATCAAAACTTACTTCTGTTCTATCATTTTCTTATCTATTAACATAATAAATTCATTAGAATTCTTTAGGGAAAATTCCCTAAAACCGGAGATTTGCTTTGATTATCCAAGGATAAATCATGATGTTTTATGCATGTAATTGTGCCGGAGAAGTTGTCTTCTTTCATCAATTCTGCGGCTGGACAGTCTGGCACTGGCAGGTCTTTGGCTCTTTCCAATATCAGACAATAGACTAGCAAGTAACCAGAGGAGGTATGTAACCAGATATAAGACGTTTTCACATGTCTCGGCGGACATTCCAGATATGCTTAAAGCCTGTTGCCTTAGCGATTTGATGGCTTCAGATGAGCCTTTTAAGAGGTAGCTTGAGCAGAAGTGAAGTTTTTCATTTCGTCTAGGTCCACTTTTCCCGGGATCTGGGTCAGTTATGAACTGATGGAAAGAGATGGGGCACTTGTCCATCATGCTGATTGCAAATCAAAATTAAAAAGTGATCA